TTTCAACGCGATCAAAATGAGTGTTGCTGCTGGAACACCCAAAGGTTCCTATGTGGGCTTGGAGAAGAAAGTGGTTCTGATCACAGGTTAGATGTTTCACTGATTTGACCAATTACATGTGACTCACAATAAATGCTGAAACTAGCTTTCTTTGTCTGATTTATTTTATGATGAATAAACTTTTTTACAAGCAAGCCATTGATACTGTATCTTTAAATTACTTCCATTAAAGTAAAATAAAAGTTGTTTCACAAGGAAAAAATATAAAATATGATGACTGAATATTTCAAAGATTTTGAAAAATATTTTTGCAAGCAAACATGCAATGAAAGGATTTTTGTAATAAGATTCTACTTTTCAGCAATGAAAGAACTGATATGGATTATTTTTTTAACTTGCAGGTGCAAGTTCAGGAATTGGAGCTGGTGCAGCTGAAGTGTTTGCTTGTCATGGATCATCTTTGATCCTCTGTGGCAGAAATGCAGAGAAATTGCAACACACTGCAGACAAGTGCATTGAGCTTGGTCTGTCACCTGACAAGGTTTCATACAATTTTGCATTTATTCTGCTCACTTTCTAGAATCTATTGATCTTTTGACTTTTTTGATCAACAGATTGTCCAAGTGGTGGGTGATGTGGCCAAGAAAGAAGACCTAGAAGCTTATGTGAACAAGGGGCTTGAGAAGTTTGGACGCTTAGATGTTGTGGTTGGTTTTGAATTCCATTATTATGCATTTATTGATATTCTTGGTCAGATAATACAGTATAACTCTGCATGGAAATAATATAGGTGGCAAATGCAGGCATAGGAGTCCCTGGAAATCTGGAAACCTTGACTCTGGAACAATATGAGCACCAGCAGCTGGTGAATACAACATCTGTCTTCAGTTTACTCAAACTTGCAATGCCAGAGTTGAAGAAGACCAAAGGAAATGTTGTTGCTGTGTCCTCAATTGCTGGTCTGAAACCAGTAAGTGCTGCTGTATAAAAAAATACTCAACCAAACACATATGTAAATTTAAACCAAGGTTCTTTCACATGCTTTAGAAGTTTAGATTATTATTATATATTCATTCTTTAGATTGACTCAATGTTGACATATTGTGTGAGCAAAGCTGGTATGGACCAA